CATATGCATTTGTGTTGAGAGGTATTATCTATAATAGTTATCCTATTGGGCGTTGACTCCCCCTTTATGATAACATTTTTCAGATATCGCATAGGCGTTCTCCGAAGGTGAGGCCATAGGCCCGCTTTGACGATATAACCGGTCTGTGGCTCTTATTTTGACTCTGCAGTCCCTTGTATGTGTTTACTTTTGGCCTTGTATAATTTTTGTAAACAAAAACTTCTTTTATATTAAAAAGGCATGTATATGAGACTCTTTTGAGACATTTATTCTTTTATGAATGAATGTACATAGTGATGATAATTATGGTAGTATCTGATACTATACAATTGAGTATGGATGAATGGACCCAGTGTGGTCAATGTTGTATAAGTTGCGTTTTGGGTAGAGCTCTTTGTACAAAAGAGACTCTACTCGAATTTTGTTGAGTTATGGATCCCGATAAATAGGGCATAACAACATGATGTCAAATTACACGGTATCCAGTGATATTTCGCTGGTTGATGGGAGATCAACAGGGTAATTACGGACACCTGAATTTGGGGTGTCATAGTGTTTGTCGGTGATTAAATGTGAGAGTATACTGCTTCATAATAAATGAAAATAAAATTATATGGTATTTCAAATTTATTTTCTTGTATGTGAGAAATTAATTTTTTCGAATTGATTTGAGTTGAGTTGCTTAAATTATGGATCAAATGTAATTTTATGAAAAGCTTAAAATTCAAGTAATATCTAATGTGTCGAGTTGCTGATAGTTTGACATGACTTACATGTTGATATTTACATTGAAAAATTGTTGTAAGATTGCTTAATATTGCTTAAATGTTATAAATAGTTTGACATTACTTAAATTTTGTTGTTTGACTCATTATTCATATGGATATTTACTATTTTTGATAAATGAGGTTAATTTGAGTTTCAAAGTGAGTTGAATTTAATTTTGTTGTGATTTGCAGGTTATGTATATCTTTTTTTTGGAACGGTATTTGATCCATATTTTTGTTATATTCCTTTGATTATGATATTTAGTATACTCAAGAAAATTATTGGTTTCAGGATATCAAAATGTAGAGTTGGGTCTATCGTTGTATTAACATGGTATAGATGGAGGTAAAATTAAGGAAGCCGATTATGTACATATATATTGTACACTAGAGTTTCCCCTGTGTTGTAAAGGGATGAATTCCCTAATGTTTTGTTTTGGGTTAAGTTAATGAATCATTAGTTGTTGTTTATTGGTTTGAAACACTTTATTGCATTACAGGGGCATGTATTACCATGTTTCAAGTTATACTTTCGTCCTTGAAAAACCAAGAAGGTATCTCGGGATGGGGGTGTGACATCATGTTTTGATGGGGATTAGAATTTGAATTTGGTTGAATTGTTGTGGTGTACAGATGATGACAATTAGTGGAAATGAGTCACATATGATGGTTCAGTTGGCGATGTTACAGGGGTATTAAGAGAGTTATAAAGAAATATTGTGTTTGGTGTGTATTTGTACAGAAAGAAAAGAGAATTGGAGAGAGAAACAAGTGTGTGTGTGTGCGTGTATATGTTGCAAAGTGGTGGCGGCATAGTGCATTGTTGTGTGTTGTGTCTTGTGTGCAACAGTGTTTGAGAAATAAAAAAATGTTGTGGAATTGAGGGAGTGCCAGATAGTTTGAGAGAGACTGGGAAAAAGAGAGGAAGAAAATTCATCAATTGTCGAATGTAGGAGACCTAAAAGCATTTGTAATTTTTAACATTGATGGGACACTTTTAAGAACCCACTAAAGAACTACATGTGTCCTCGGAACCGAGGAAACCACGACTCTGGGTTGCTGCCACGTGTCCTCAAACATCGAGGAATCAGGAACTCGGGGGGTGCTGTCACGTGTCCTCGACGCTGAGGAACCAGGAGCTTCAAAAATGCGACACGTGTCCTCAACTCTGTTTGCTCCTCCAAAGGGCTAATCGTTGACACGTCACCTCGGTTCTAGGACCCCGAGACATGGATGGATAATTGACGGCTGTCACCAATTAAGATCAGAGTTGATCTTTCATCATTGACTTATTTTTCCAAAGAAGTCAAAATGGCAGAAAGGACAAGACCAGCGACCAAATGAAATTGGACACATGGAGCAAAGTACAAAATTGGGGGTCAATGGACAAGAATGCCCCCGCTGGCACACAACCATCATAGGAGAGCATTCAATGATCCTTCAGGAGGATAAGACGTGTTTATCGTCCTAAGAGTCTTGGTGGAAGGACATTAAGTGCTCAAAGGCCTGAGCATTTAATACCGATTGACCTCTCATGGGGGACANAATTATCTCATTATATAATATAAGGCTTCACAGCAGTGTTATTTAAGGTGTAAAGCGAATCAAAGCGAACCGATCTCTTGAGGGCTTAGGCGAAAAGCGAAGCGAGAGTTTCATCAAAGCAAAACGAACAATATAAAAAATAAACAAATATTTTAGTTTGATACTTTGATTACTCCTAAATATTCTAGTTTTAACTTTAAAAATAAAAAATATTTAAATACAATCAAAATAATAAACATCAACATATTTTAAATAGACAAGATATTAAATATTGAACATTATTGCATTTTAAAAATAATCAATTGATATAATCAGGTCATCTAAATGTAAAACTAGCAAATGTGGGTTCAACTTCCACCGTGATTGATTCAACTAAACAGAGTACTCACAAATTAATTAATCAAATGGAGCATATATCAAATTGATTAATCAATTCAATTAACCAAGCAAATTGATTAACAAGAGCATTTACAACAAAACAGAGCATTTAACATCATCTAATCAAAATAAGACAGATTGTCATGTAATACTGTTAGATGAATCAATTAATTTATTTTATAGATATACACATATAACATCATCTCTGTTAGGGTTTAGTTAATGTTAAGGAAGAAGAAAAAGAAGAAGAAGAAGAAAAAGAAGAAGAAGAAGAAGGAGGAGGAGGAGGAAGGAGGAGGAAAGGGGGGGAGGAAGAGAAAATAAAAAAATTGCAGTCAGGCGTTCGNGAAAAAGAAGAAGAAGAAGAAGGAGGAGGAGGAGGAAGGAGGAGGAAAGGGGGGGAGGAAGAGAAAATAAAAAAATTGCAGTCAGGCGTTCGCTTTTCTCGCTTGACTCGCTTCGTCGCCTAGGCTCTTTTCTTTGCTTCGTCGTTTAGGCTCGTTTCTTTGCTTTGTTGCCTAGGCTCGTTTCTTCGCTTCGTCGCTTAGGCTCGTTTTTTCTTCACTTTACTTGACCTCGCTTCGCCTGAGATGTTCAAGGCGATTAAGGCTCTCTTCGCTTTGCTTCTCGCCTAGGCTCGCTTTTCACAACATTGCTTCACAGAAGTTTGTAATTCAGGATTGAAATGTGTTGGATTCTTGTATAAAGTTGTTATCTACGTATCTAGCATCATGCGTAAGAGTTTCACCAAAAATATTTGTGTTCACACTCTACATTCAGATTATATTTATATTTGGTAAAAAATGGATTATAAAATCTGTTGGTAATGCCATTGTGAATTCATGGCATTCCCCTCTGACCAAACAACTGAACTAATTACATGTTAAATTTGGTCACCAAATTATTTGTTTCTCTATAGTGGCTAATTCAATTAACTAATTACAGATCTTATAGCCAAAATGATTCCAACTCATTAGTCATTACTGAGAAAATTCTCACGAAGACCATACATTTTCTTCTTGCACATGGTTTTGAGGAATGCCACTTGCTATCCCTATGCTAGAATATTTGGTTAAGAATCATTTTGGGTCTAATCAAAGCTAACTTACCAGCACACCATAAAAATATACTAAGTTCAACATATATGTTTATATATGACACATCCATACATCTACCCATAAGTTGTAATGGTTACTTTCAGACATGCAGGCGTTCTAAATACCTCTTCTTTTATGTTTAATTTTATTTCATGCTCATAGGTATGTTTGACATTACATGTGCTTTGGATTTTCCTTTTTAGTGTAAGTGTGTTTGGACCTTGTTCTTTATTATCCTGGTCACATCAGCAGCATATATACTATTCCAAACTAGGAAGCACAGACACTTTATTTTGGGTAGAGTGTTGGTGTCGGACACGCCTGGGACACGGATACGGACACGCTCGGACACATTAAAATGAGTGTCCGATTTTTTTATTATTAAATTTTTTTTAGGACACAGTGGGACACGTGGCCGACACGTTCAGGACACGTTGGGACACGCTGGGAGACACGTTTTGAGATTTATTTTCAATTTTTTTGAGAACTTTTCAGATAATTTTATAATTAGGAGTTATTTATAATTTTAAAGGGATATGAGTCACAATCATAATATAAAAGAAGTTATAATAATTACATTGAACATAGGACATAAATATAATATAATTTTGGATATGAATACGAACTTATATACAAATGGAATAGTTTTTTAATATGAAGGTAATGTGAGAAAAAATGGGATTACAAAATTAGAGCTCTTGGAATTTGATGAAAATTAGTATTACAAAATGAAATATTTTCAAACTAAAAGTTGTAGAAGTCATTGATTATTGAATTATGGATGTTAATATTGTATGTGTATTAATATATCTTATATTATACTTTTCATGCAATGATATCATGATGTAAATTTTTAGAATTAGGAAAATAATGAATTAAAAGATTATTATGATAATATTTTTATTTTATCACATGATTTTATATAATATATATATATAAAATACATATTATTTAACGTATCGCTAACGTGTCCGTGTCCTACTTTTTTGAAAAATTTCATGTCGGCGTGTCCATGTCGTGTCGTATCCGTGTCCATGCTTCTTAGATTCCAAAGATACATTGTTATCCTTATAGTTAATCCAATGATAGGAAAAAAGAAGCAGAATAAGGCTGCTCATGCTACAACGTGCTAATATATTGCACTGCCAATTTATTGACTGTGAGTGGAGGCATAATCTCAGTCATTTTCCCTTGGTCCTGAGTTTAATTCTCAATGGCTTCCAGTTGTACTGAGGTTTAGAGTTTTGTAGGAAACAAATTAAACATCTGAATTAAAGCTTTGGGTTATTAGATCTCCTGTTTGATCCTACTCCAGGCCAATTTTTTGTAACATTCAGATTACATTATTATACCTTCGGATCGATAGTTGAAGATTGCAACTTTGGAAGGTTTGTGTGACTCATTCTTCTCATTGATTGAGACAATTAGTGAATGTGTACTCAAATAAGTCATATGCCTAGAAGCTTTAGTGGTGCCAATGTTCTATCCTGTGTGTTTTTTCACTTCTGTCCACTCATTTTCTCGTTATCTTTTGCAGCTAGCAGAGATTGTAAACCAAGGGAAGTTGGTTTCAGATGAGATTATAATAAGCTTATTGTCGAAGAGACTTGAGGCTGGAGAAGCTAAAGGTGAATCAGGATTTCTTCTCGATGGTTTCCCACGAACAGTTAGACAAGCGGTGAGCAGTTTCCCTGTGATAAAGAGCTCATTGCTGTATTCCATGATCTATTTTCAAATAAATTATCTCATAATACGTTTTAATAATTAATCTTAATAGAAGAAATGTACATGATGAAGTGTAGGGAATGCTAAATGTTAGCTGTAGAAGAGTTTTTTTTTTCCCTTTTGTTTTGCTATCAGAGAGAATCATTGCAAGTTGTAGAACATAATATTCGGTGTTTGCGAAAATTTTGTGCTGGCAACAAATATCTGAACAGGCCGTTTGCGGGGTTTATATGGAATCTCATTATTGATTGAATAACACTTAAAAAGCACGGGATAAAATTGGATTAGAGAGAGAGAGAGAATAATGGAAATAAGAGAACTCTTAAAAAATGTAGAAACATGTTAATGAAGTTTATGGACGGTCGAGAATCATTGACCTTGAGCTTAATTGGTCAATCAATGATGGGCCTCTAAGTTCATTACTTGATTGGCTTTGTGTTGCAACATGATGATTCTGGGTTATTAGACCATTCACACTACTGTTTTATTCTGTGTAGTGTATCAAATATTGGTAAGAATTTTATTTTATTCGATCAGTAACGTGGCCATAACTTGATCTATAAGTGCACTTCAATTTCGATCAATGGTGAATTATATTAATTTTTTATTTCCATGCCTGTTTTCTGCCTTATTAAGTTTGCTATGTTGCTTTTGATATTCAAAGGACCATTTGATTGCTTTTAAGTATGAGAAAATTTTAAAAGCAAAATCATACCAAAAGCTTAATGCACAATGGTTACAATTTAGAAGGAGAGGAGTTGAACACCAAAGAGGGTTGAAAAGAAAAGAAAAAAAGAAGAGCAAATAAAATATGCTCCAAGCTCTTTGAATTCGGTAGGGTGCACTTAATGAAAATCTACATGTACACCTTAATATAGCTCCTTATTTCTTCCATTCAAAAGGGCTTGAATAACTTGCAAAAGAGTGATGATTTTTTACCGTCAACTATTTGTGGTTGACTACATGATTCTTGTTTCTACATTGTGCTCTATTGAGAGCCATATTTTTGGTTAAACCATGGGTTGTCATTATTTTTTTACTTTTTGACTATTGTCCAAAGTTAAGTTCGGCCAAACTCTACCTCTCGCAAAACCCTTGATGTGTATCAAATTACTCTTCATCACTGGTGCATTACTAGTTCTTCTATAAACACGTCCAAACTATTTAAGTGGATTCTGACTTCATTTATCTCCGGTTATTGCTCCTTTCCAATGGTGAGAATGATTAAGAGTCATCATTAAAATGGTTTAATCACCTGTCATTGTTAAACTGCACTGGAACTATGTTTTTGGCTCATTGACTGATTTTTAAAGACTTGTTTTCTCTCTGAGGTAATGCTCTGTCTTAAATGCTCAAGTTCCTCTCTTTTTATATATCTATCCAGGAAATATTAGATGACGTGACGGACATTGACTTGGTTATTAATCTCAAGCTCCCTGAAAACATATTGGTTGAGAAATGCCTTGGCCGGAGGATTTGCAACCAATGTGGGAAAAATTTCAATGTGGCATCCATTAATGCTAAGGGTGAGAATGGGAGTCCTGGAATCAGCATGGCTCCACTTCTTCCCCCTTCGCACTGCATCTCAAAGCTCATCACTCGGGCTGATGATACTGAAGCTGTTGTGAAAGAACGACTTCGTGTATACAATGATAAGGTATAACTTCATTCTTTTAGAGTGCCTTTAGCCAGGGCACATTCAAGGCACTTGGAGTGCCATTACTTTTTTACCATCTCTCTCCTGTTTTCTCTCTTTTTGGGTGGTTTTTGGTCCTTTTTATTTATTTCTTTTTTTTTGGGGGCGTGGGGGGTGGGATATGAGGCGTGTTGGGGAGTGGTTCTGTGAAAGATTAAACCATCTGTTGTATCTTTGTCTCTTGGGAGGCTGAAACAAAAGAGTGCTTGTCTGATCATTTGGCCAACCTTGAATTGACTCAGAACTATTAGTTTGGTATTGGTTTTTTACCTCTTCATTTATTATTATTATTATTATTATTATTATTATTTTTTTTTTTTTTTGTGGGGGGGGGGG